ATATTTATTGGCATTCTGTTACTCTTCTTCCAGTATATATACAACTTTATTTTGATGAATGAAATAATAACTCTCATTTCTTTTGTATGGTATCAGAGCCATGAATGAAATAATAACTCTCATTTCTTTTATACGGTATCAGAGCCAGGTTCCTCCACAAGGTTGTTTTTTTCCTCTGTTAATTTATCATGGCACCCTCTTCCAACTTTCCATTCTAGCAGCGACACGACAAGTCTGGTCTACATTTTCTAATCAAACTCACCTCTTCCAACTTTCCAGTCTAACAGCGACACGACACGTCTGGTCTACCCTTGTCGATTTTGGATTGTTAGGATACATTGACGGCACCGATGCAAAATCCAGTCATTCATCTCTTCCGAGCCTTCCAATTTTCTGGACGATATTCGTGCACGCAGGTCCCGGCATACACGAGTCAAGCTTTTTCAGGCTCATTTTTGGACTTGATTTGCAACCGCCTCCCCCCTGCGCGCGAGAGAGCCTCTATGCTATACAATTCAATAAGCCTTAGAAAGACTCACTAGTACAAAATTGCAAATAGGCAATCATTGTAAAAGACAATAGGCGACCATTGTACAATGGTCGCCTATGAGAGGCTCGCGCAAAGGCATCGACTTTACGCGACCATTGTGAAATGGTCGCGCATTGTTAGTAATATGCGATCATTCTTGACAAAGAATGGTCGCGTATTGATTTTTTTTTTTTTTAATTCGAAGGGAAAACGCGACCATTCCTGGCTAGAAATGGTCGCGTTTTCTATTTTTATTATTTTAATAAAATGTCATCCGCGACCATTTCTGGCTAGGAATGGTTGTGGATGACATTTTAAGTTTTTTTTTTATTATTTATTTTATTTGATTAAAATTCCTAATTTTTTTTTGTAATTCCTGTACCTGTTACAGCTTATTCAAATCCCCTATCAACATTACTCCACTATCAACACACTTTGAAATAATACCTTTAACACACAATGCAAATACTATCATCAAAATACAATATATAGCACTTAAAATCCTCATACTTTAATACAATAATATCATCAAAACATGCCCAACTCGATCAATACTATCATCAAAAACAAAATACTTTTTATCAATAAAATAAAAGTTATAAGCACTCGGAAAAGAAGAACTTTGACCAATGCTCTCGAACCTCATTTATGTCGTCGATAGAATACGGACTATCTCTTTCAAATGCCTACAAAAAATTAAATTAATAAAACTAATAAATATGTTAATTAATAAAATATAACTTAACTATACATAGTTCTATTTAAATTCACTTACCCCATCCAAATTATCAACAGATGAATATTTTGTCATGATGTCATACATGTATCGCATGACATAATATCCACACTCATGACCTCCCGATTGGATCGGGCACTAAAAAATATACATATATTATTTTACTAATTTAAACAACTTAATGTAATTCAAAATATCACACTAAAACTTAAATTCAATTTTCATACATACTTTGCATGGCTTCCAATTGATGCTCTTAACCCGTGCACTCGTAGGAACAGAGCGAAATGCCCTATAATAATTATAAGCATACATAAAAATTTATAAATAATATCATAGCTGCTAAAATACTTATATAAATAATAAAGTATTTACTTACAAATTCACAGAGCCTTTAATTAAACCTATGTTGCAATTAGAAGGCAATGGATCCAAGATACATACGCTTTTTGACCGTATGCAAATCACCAAAAGTAACCAATGAGAGCTATATTTAAAAACACAAATATATATTAAAAATAGAAACGGTATTCAACTTCAGCACAATTATTAAGTTAAAAAGTATGTGTAAGACGAGTGACTCTGAAGCAACCATGAAAAAGATACACCAGAAGTTAAGAATAGAACTGCTGTACATATTATCTTGCAAGGACTTTTTTTTTTTTTTTTTTTTAATGTTCTGGACTTTAAAAAAAAAAATTAATCTGAAAGAAACTGTAATTTTCACTTTAACTCTAGAACACTTACTTGCAGCGGATAATCACTGGTTGAGGTTTCAGAGCCTTAGGTCCATTTCGTATCCCTCTCTTGTGACGAGAAACCTGCATTATTGAATGTATACCACCAAATAAATGTCAACTGAAATAAGAGATAGAAGTTTGTTTTAGGCCCTAGACTATCAGAACTTTTGACCATTAGTAGTCCATCTATATATTACCAAATAAAGGACAATTATGGTCATTGGTTAAGTGAATGCATCACATGCTGCTCCAACATGGAGGCTAGCAGTTATTTTCTTTATATCTAAAAAAAAAATCAATAATAACTAATATATAAAATAAAAACAAACATGCAACAGGCTTCGCATTTGACTACTTGACTGAAATAATCAATAGTCACAACACCATCCCAAATCCCATTACTTCAATAGTACCAACACAGTTTTGTCCTTCCGGAATTTTTAAAAAAAATATATAAGCCTATTCCACTATCTGTATGAACACTACAGCATTGGGTCACAAGATCTATCACCACTATCCAACGCTGCTACCATTCACCACCAGCCAGCAGTGTCACCATCTACTACCACTACCAGACATTCTTATCACCTACAACCACCTTCTTCATGTTCCACCTTGCGATATCAGACCACCACTATGTCACCACTGCCCAGCCAGAGCACCATTGACTTAAAACAAGATCAAACCCGTGGGCATTTCAAGATTAAATTATTTTCACATTTTCCAACCAAATAAACAAAAAATGCTAAGGACTGAATGTCTGAAAAAAGACAATCAATTAGGATTAATGACTAGTGAGATAGAGATCAGAGGAGCATTAGGCCATTGGCAGTAGCAACTTGGAGAGTTGACGGGAGAAATAAAGAGAAAGAAAGAAAAACCTGTGCTTCTAAAAAGTTGCAGTTGGAAGAAGGAAACAATCCATTGATTGGGAAATTTTGATAAATTAGGAAGAAATTACCTGAAATGTGTTTAGTACCCTTAAACTTTGATTTATTTTTATCACATGAAGTCTAGTGCCACTTTAGCATCCAATTCTAACCTAAACTCTAACGTGAGGACCAAAAGTGTCAAGTTTCTTGTAGTCTAGCAACTACTAGCAGGAGTTTCAAAAGTTTGAGGTCTGGCAATGCACACCAATAGTCTGGGACTTTATCAGAAATATAAGCAGTATAAAACTTTTGCAATGGTAGAGATGGGCTCCCTGGCATGGAATCCATTAACAATGTGAACATCAAACCAACTTAAATAAGTAATCTAGAGTGATGTAAAAAAGGAACTTGTTTAAATTTTAATAAAACAAGAGAATCCAATTTCTATTACAACACACAAATAATTACAGTGAACTAGATACACTTATTTTAATCAACAGACTATTGCATTACCACACAGTTATAAATTATTATTAGACTCTAACCCATTCAATCCAATAGTATTTTGCCTATTGTTATCCAATGACAAACAAATTAAACACTGCATTGATCAATTTCAATAATTCTGTTCACTCCAACTCAAATACCCAATCAAAGAATCCCTCTGTATTAAAATAGCCATTCACGAGTTGAAACAAAAGTTGTAATTGCAAAAATCAAGTATTTACCATGTCAAAATTTGTATACTTATATAACAGTTTTTACTACATTTTAATATCAAGATCTGAGGATATTATATTTTAAACCTGTGTCTAACAGCATACTCACCCTTGCCCATTGCCATGGTATTCCATGTACACACCTCTTCTGTTACAAACGTTTTCAATCTCTAAAAAAGAAATGCCCCCTCCCATTATCAATCAAGACTAGCTTGCAGTAGTAGTTTTAAGAAATGCTAATTCACCAAATTAGCATTATAAAATTTGTTATGCACAGTTTGGACTAAAACTTTGCTTCAAGATATCATCTTTACAACAATGTATTGACAGTGCCTCAAAGCAATAGCTAAATCTCACAACTTCACATAACAAAACAGGATTTCACCTTCCATACTTGATTTTGGTGAGCATTCTTCAGCACATTGTATAATCTCTTTATTCTAAAAAATTGTCTTCTTGATTCAACAAATTTTATACTTAACTCATCAACAAATTCAATCTAATTCATCAAACTAAATAATTCATACTCAATATATATATATTAACAACCTATATAATTCATATTCAATCTACCAATTAACAAAATTAACAATTAACTCGTTTGTAAAATCAATTAACAATTAACATATTTATTTTTTTTATTAACAATTAAAAATAATATATATATATATATATATATATATATATATATATATATATATCACATATTTCGCATTTTCTTCAATTTATTGTATACTAGACCTTCAACTCTAAACTTATTCCTAAATTTTAATTCATAACTTGGAAATCTAATTAGTTTCATCAATGGTATCATGTAAGAATCCCTGGGAGGGCACTACATGAATGCGACAACCTAAGATAGCTATCTAAAATGTGATTTTTAAATTTGTTTTTATCTGATCGACCTTTGCTTTTACCATTATTATCGTTACAAAAGTGAACTAAAAAAATGCATTTTCCTTGTTTAAAAGGGCGAGAACATAATTATCGGACAAGATGGAAACCAATCACATAGCAAAATATAGACAATGATATTCCTAATCAATTTTTGTACTACCTAAAAAACAAAAAATAAATTGAAAGTTATTTAAGTGGATTTTGATTCCAAATAGGGCTGGGCACTTCGGGTTTTAGTTTCGATTTTTTTCGATTTTAAAAAAATTAAACCATTCGATTTAAAAAGTTCGGTTCCGCTTTGATTCGGTATTCGGTTCGTTTTGGTGGAAGTCCACTATTTGAACGTTTCCTTTTTTGCCTGACCGATTGTTTAGTTGGCTCACTTGAAGTGTTTTGTTGATGACAAGATGAAGAATCATCCATCTATAGTTAATATTTGAAAAATAAGAATTATTAAAACACTAAATGTTGGGACTTACGACTTAGAGTTGAGATAATTAGAATCAATAGTTTTGATTCATTGTTGTATTGGATTGAGATCCAAAGATTCTTTATCGATCTAGCTACTAGCTACAAGGATGGGGCTTTTTAATATGTAAAGGGAAATGTAAAAGAGAATAGAAATTTCTAGTTTTAGAATCTAGTTAGACGATTGTGTGATAACTTTTTCTTCTTCTCGATCATTCAAGATATTTTGTGAAGGAACCTATTACTGAATCTGATGAGTTAAACTGAAAGTCAAAAGAAAAAATTGAGGATTTGAGGAGTTGAAATTATTAATTATTATAATATTTATATATAATACTAGCATTTTGTACGTGTGATGCGCGAAAATTTATGCCCAACATTAAAAAATTGATAAATACAAATAATTAAAAATTATAGTTCGAATTTTATTTCGCAATTCCTTAAAGTAGTAAATTGTAATCATCGTATTTGAAAGATAATTAGATATAGGTGTATGATAATAATGATAGAATTATGAAAGTTTTAGAATTAAATAGTAACGGTGTTATAACGGTATAAGAGTATTTTAGTCTAACAAGAATGTAGTAGGGACAATTTTGTCCATTACAATTGAAGTGTACAACATTTAATAAAAAATGTATACCTTTATTTACATACAAATGTAAGTATTAACACAAATGTACCTATCGTTTAATGGGTAAAGTTCTTGATTTCCGGTTAAGGGTTCAAACTTTATTTTAGATATTTAATACACTGTATATATTTATTATATTAAAAAAAATCGATCGATTCTTCGGTTCGATTCGAGTTTTATCCGAACCAAACCGATCCGATTACCTAAACTGAGTACCGATCGGTACTTTGGTTTAGTACCGAACTGAACCGGTTCGATTCGATTCGGGTAACCCGACCGAAGTGCCCAGCCCTATTCCAAATATTGGCAAGACACAAATGTATTCCTTTGAGGTCATTTCATTTTCGATAACAAACGAACCGTCGAGACCGCCGTTACAATTTGCACTCATATACATCTACTAAAACCATCGGCATGCCTGCGCAATTGCAAGATGATGTGCAATTTTTCAAGTCATTTTTTTTGTAATGAGGTACTATAGCAACTGTCTAAAGGTGTGTGCTAAGTAAACTTCACCTTGTAATCCTAATCAACAAAGTGTCATAATGACAGTTGACTATAGTTGCGTATAGTTGACAGACAACCATACCAACTAGACTAGGGTTGCTTTTTTTTCTTTTTCTTTTTTCTTTTTTTTTTCTTTTTTAGATGTCTTTTTTTTTTTTTTTTTCTTTCTATCTCTTGGGTGATGTGTTTTACAATATTTACAAATTTTGTAACCATTGCAAAATTGACAAATGCCAAACTTTTAACTTCAATTTGATTTTTTTAATTAATAAAATATTATTATCTTGGTGGTGAGTTGAAATTGCAGGAATGTAAAGAAAATATATAATTGGTGAATTGCAAAAAGTTCTACTATATGGCTACATGTACTATTAATATCTATTCAATCAGTTTTACTCCTAATATGACAAAAAAATCTAGAGAAAATACCAATTTTGGTCCCACTAATATTAGCAAAATAACAGTTTTGCTCTACATGTTTAATTCCTACCAATTTTCATCAACAACTATTATTTTAATACCAATTTTCATCAACGACTATTATTTTAGTACCAATTTTCATCCACGAATATTATTTTAGTACCAATTTCCAGTCACGACTATTATTTTAGTGCTAAAATTCATCACGACGGTCACCCCTCCGTTTAAACCATGCCAAATTTTTAAAATTTTAAGGGTATTTTCATTCTTTTCAACTTAAGATCTCAATTTGAGCATGAATAAATGATTTAAGTCCTAAGACCGATCCCAATTTGAGCAGGAGAATTGCGAATTGGGATTGATCTTAGGACTTAAATTCCCTTTTTCATGCTCAAATTGAGATCTTAATTTGAAAATGATGAAAATACCCTTTAATTTCATATTTCGGCATGTCTTAAACGAAAAGGGTGACCGACGTGATGAATTTTGGCACTAAAACAATAGTTATGGATGAAAATTAGTACTAAAACAATAGTCGTGAATAAAAATTGGTACTAAAATAATAGTCGTGATCTTTATGTGATCAAGATTAAGAGCATAATATATATATTTTTAACTGATTAAGGATGTTGTAGCTACTCCCAACCAAATTAAAATTATAATCCATCACCATCTTCTTCTTCATGTTAATTAAGCCGGAAGCCCTAGCAGCGGCAACAAGGAGCAGCAAAGTCACCTGAAGGAGAAAGAGAGGACATGCGACGACGCCGGAAAACCAGCCCGCCTTTGCCATCTTTCCTCGTCGCGACATGCGACTGTTCGCCCCTGTTCGCGACGCCTCCGCCTGCCGATGAATATAACAGCAGCGCGAAGATGGAGAGCGGCAGCCCTTCACCTGAAGGAGAAGATCGAGCAGCGACGCCACCGGGAAAACCCAGCCACGCCTCCGCCGCGTCTCCTCACTGCGCAACGCCAACAACCGCCGCCTGCAATTCCAAGTCGCACCGCTGTCGTGTCGTCCTATCGCTAAAGCAAGAAAACTAATGGCGGTTGCCTGAAAAACAAAGCACTGAAGGCTTCTAAAACCAATTCCGAGGTCGCCGGTGAGTCACATTCGGAACCAGTGCGTAGGCCTCATTTTTTTTTCCGGCCAAAACAAATCGGCAGTAGTCTCACCAAAGGAATCACAATATATATTTAATATCAAAATAAAGGAAATTAAAATAATTGTGCTTAATGCTCGTAATTAAATTCCAGGCATCCAGATCAATTACAAATAATTCTTTCAAACAAAGAATTAAAACAAATGTAATCGTAAAATAAAGCATATACAAACACTTGATGTATATGAAAAATTACTGTTGATTTTTAGGCAATACAATCAACCAGACAGGGATTATAAAGGCTCTGATACCAAATGTTAGATCTAAATAATCTAACGATACAGAAGAATGGTACACAAGGAACCTGACCTCGTATAAGCGGAAGCGGTAGTCGTGTTGATCTCTAGCCATAGTTGGTGTTCTTGTTTGTTGCCTCTTAACCATGGTTGCAATAGGCGCTAGGCGCTAGTCGGGCGGTAGAGTAGCGCCTAGCGCCTAGACGGCCTAGGTGGGGTCTAAGTGGCCTAGGCGGTCGCCTAGGCGGCTAACTGAAAAAAAAAGAAAACCAGTGCACGTGTGTAAGTGCATATATGTCATATTACACACACACACACACACACACACACACACACATACATACATACATATATATATGTATGTCTGTCATATAAATAGAAAAAAATTAGCAAGGTCGAGTCAGTCGGGTTAACTCGGCTAACTCGACAGAAATTGACGAGTTAACTCGGCGTAATCGGACAAGTTAGGCGTAGGCGGCTGAATTAGGCGCTAGGCGGCCGGTCTCCTAGGCGGGAGCCTAGGGGGAAATCGCCACGGCCTAGGGGCGCCTAGCGCCTAGGCGCCGATTACTCAGTGCCTAGGCGGGATTTTTACAACCCTGCTCTTAACGGTAGACCGTTAGCCATATTTTGCCTCGTACTAGACTCAGAATGGTGTATAGGTGTCTACTGAGCAATATAAGTACCGTAACTGAATGTGCTATATATCGAATATCCTGTATCCCATAAATTCAGGTTTATACTATGCATAGAGTCTGATTAACTAACAACTTCTCGTTATTAAGTCTAATCAAACTACTTAATAAGCCTAATCAACTTGCATCACTTAATTAATGCCCTTATATAATATATAATATATATTATATTATTAGAGAAAATCTTACATCCACATAATACAATCCACATATTCAAGTAATTGCATCAACAAACAAATAAAAACCACGCGAAAATTTGTAAACAACAAAGCATATAGATCGAGGTGATTTTTTTTTTTTTTTTTTTTTGAAAAAATCTGGAGTTGACTCATCAAACACCACAAAATCTTGTTGAGCAATCACCTCGTCCATATTGAACACAGGCACCGCAAACAAAACCGCAAAGATCAAATCTAAAGCTGTCCATATCAAAAGACAATGTCTAAAATCCACGAAGATCAAAAGAATAAAGAGCAAAATCCGCGAAGATCTAAAAGGAAAAATAAAAGGAAACTATAGAAAACGGGACTGACACAAAAACATTAAAACCCAAATACTGAAACAACATTATTTGGATCTAGGATCCACAATGCTGTGTAGATTTTGGTCCATGATATAAATTGTGTCGCTTGTCTGTTCCTTCAACATTTAGCACAAAGCAAACCAAGCAACCTTCTAGCCCAAACTGGGGAAAAAAAATTACAAGATTACAATGGTTATACCATGTAACATGATTCATCTTTCATTGTGGACTCTAGTCCAGTAAAAATTATGTGTCTGCATTCAATATATCACAAAGAGTCAACATCACCTCCACTAAGGCTCAATCTCATGACCTCCCATATAGGAGAGTCACTACATACCATCCAAGCACAATGTGCTTGGCATGTGCCTTCATTTAATAAAGGGATAATTAACGATTTGGTCCCTTGAACGGTCAATGTAGTCCTTGAATTCCATATTCATTAATTTGATCCTCTAATTAACTTTTGGTAAAAAATAACTCCTTCCGGCACTATTTCACCGTTCAGCCCGGGAAGACTCCGATTTAGCATAGGCATTTTGGTCTTTTCTTGTCTTCATCCGGTGAGGACTCCGAATACGCCAGAAACCGGAGACGGAGACCACCAACTTTGCAACCACTCAAGACCACCCAAAACAGCCGAAAAAAGCAAGAGTTTGCTGTGATTATAATCTTTTATTAAAAGAGTTTTTTACTTGCATCTGAATTAAAAAAGAATTTTAGGCGACATGTTCGTCTTCTTCTGGTCTTCTTAGGCGAGGCTCGACCCGATGGTCGCGACTTGCTTTCCTCCGCCCGATGGAAAAAGAAGTGAGTTCTCAGATTATTTTACTCCGACGGCATTCAAAACAAGGGAGGGCGGTCTTCCCAGCATCTTCGACCTCCGGTGTGCTCCGTTTTGGGGTGACTGGGTCAGGCGGTTGTAAGTGACCACTCGCTTCCTTCTCTGGCTGTCCATGTTTCTTGGTGACCGGAGGCGACTAGTGGAGGATTCTCACTGGCGCTACTGACAGTTGATGCTTACTGCTGTCGCGATCTGTTATTTCTTGGCTCCAATTGCTGTTCTCGCAGGTATTTGTTGATTGTGGGTTTGTGTGTTTTTTTCTGGAGGTGTATGTTTTCCGGCGTAATTGTGCAAAGGTGGTGATTCTATATTCCGGTTGGATGTTCTGTCGTCCATGAACTCTGGCTGGTGGTGGCTCTGTAGATGTTGTCTTCTCCGGCGTGATTAGTATTATGTACTTGTAGTATTTACATTCAGATGTTTTTGGTGATTCATAAATCATTTCCCTGATGCACTTCATATATTTCATTACACTGAAGCCAAGAGAATAAGCTTATGTAAAAGCTGGAATTAATTACATCAAGAAGGATTTCCTTACTTTATTTAATTCACCAACAACATCACTAATGTTCATTCTATCTGCAGGGAATTCAACAGAACAGGCAACCCCAACTTTGATCATACAAACTAAGCACACATCAAATTTGTCATTCTCCTTGCAAGATTTCCCTTTGTTCCTCATTTGTATTTGTTCAACTCTTTCTTGGAGAATTTTTGGATCTGCAATCTCCACTCCTCTCTCTGCTAAACCCGCCTTAGCATAGCTATGGAGGTTTAAGCCGTCTTTGAACAATTCATCTGTAGGTCTCCTCCCAATGAGCATTTCCAAGATTAGTATGCCAAAGCTATATACATCTCCTGCCTTTGATGCCTTACTTCCAATACCATATTCTACTCCAAAATTTTAAAAAGTGTCATCAAAATGCAGATTAGATGAGTATATGCATTTAATATTAGAATGATAAGTACTTTCTAGTCAATCATGTGTATTAGAATACTTATCATACCTGGTGGAGCATAACCAATAGTTCCTCCAACTCCTCCTATAGAACTGTTGTTTTCTGAACAACTTTGAATCGGCCTTTGTTGTACAAATCTTGCCAATCCGAAATCACCAACATGTGCAGTCATGTTTTTATCAAGGAGAACATTGCTTGGCTTGAGATCGCAATGGATTATTGCAGGTTCACAATCATTATGAAGATAATCTAGAGCGCAGGCCACGTCGATGAGAATGTTTATCCTCTCAACAAAACTTAACCTCCGAGAATTCTCTTTTGGAATAAAATGCAGCCAGTTCTCAAGGTTCCCATTATCCATGTATTCATAAACTAGTGCCTTGAAATCATTCCCTTGGAGATCATACCCTGAACATGCAGTTAATACCTTGACAAGATTGCGGTGTCTAGTGTTCTTCAACACTTCACACTCAGCTACAAAACTGCGGGACGCTCCTTGGTGCAGAAGATCAAGTACCTTGACTGCGAAAACTATTCCATCTTGATCAAAACATCCTTTATATACAGCTCCAAAACCACCAACTCCTAGTAAATTTTCTTCGCAGAATCCATTAGTGGACTTGTGGAGGGAATGGTATGACACCCTTAAGGTGGAGTTTTCTAACAAATGGGGTAACGGTTCTTTTCTATGTCTTCTAAACCACCTAAGGCAAAGAATAAACACTACAAGAGTTATCCCAATAACACCAAGAATCAAAGGAATTACTACTTTCAAATAAGATTTTGATTTCTTCTTCTCGGGCTTTGTAGTATTACATTCACGAAGTTTCAGTTCAGTTATTCCCCCACACAGCTTTCTATTTCCTACAATCGAAACAGAACTTGTGTCGTTGAAGATTCCTTTGGTTGGGACTGCCCCTTCCAAATCATTGTACGAAAGATTCAAATTCTGTAAAAGTTTGAAGTCCTTGAAGAAAGCTGGGAATTGACCTGTTAATTTGTTGTGAGAAAGGTCTAAAAATTGCAGTCCCCTTAAATTTGACAAAGCTGATGGAATAGGGCCTTGAAGGTGGTTATTGGTAAGACTCAACATTTCCAAGTACACGCAGCTACCAAGCGTTGTTGGAATATGGCCTGACAATGAATTATAGGACAAATCCAAGTAGTCTAGATTTATCAAATATCCAATCTCGTTTGGAATGGAACCTACCAACTGGTTGTAAGATAGATCCAAAGCAATTGACAAGGATGATAGTCTTAGAACTTCCTTAGGGATGTAACCACTAAGGTTGTTCTTATAAAGGGTTAACATCAATAGGTTTTGACATTTTCCAAGACTTCGAGGAATAACTCCCTGGAGGTAGTTTTCTTCTAAACTGAGTGTGAATAAACGGGTTAGATTTCCTAAAGAAGATGGGATTTTCCCAACAAATCTGTTTCCAAATAAACCCAATTTTTGTAGATTTCTCAGAAACCCAATCTCGAATGGGATTTCCCCACTAAATTTGTTGACACCCAAATATAGAGTCTCCAAGCCAATGAGATTAGAAATCCCCTTTGGAATATTTCCAGAAACTTCATTGCTGTGAAGGTGGAGATATACAAGGTTTCTTGAAATGTTAGTGATCAATCTGGGCAAGCAACCTCCAAAATTATTACGACTAAGTTCCAAAATTTCTATGCTGGAGGTATTGATCAATGAAGAAAGGAAGTTGAGGTCATCAAACATCCCCTCCCCAAGATGGTTATTTCCAACCACAAACCTCTGAATTTTTTGCAGTTTTCTAAGGTCAGGAACTTTTCCTGTCAACCCATTTGAAAGAACATGGAAGAACTGCATGTTTGTAGCATTGGATAATGTAGTAGGAATACTTCCAGTGAAATTGTTAATTTGAAAACCAAAATAAAAAAGGCTGGGAAGATTGACAAAAAGATTGGGGGGCAAAGTCCCATGAATGCAATTCATGGCCACATCAAGAGCCAACAAGGATGAATGATTGAATAGAGAAGAAGGCACAGTGCCGGTTAAATTATTTCCACTGACTACAAAGTATTTTAGTTTTGGTAATCTACCTAGAGAATCAGGTATTTCTCCAATGATGTTGTTGAACGAGACAGAAAAGCCATAAAGCAAAGAAAGATTCCCAAGAGGTTGAGGGATTTTACCAGTAAGGTTGTTGTGAGTAAAATCAAAGAATTCGAGATTAGTTAAAGTGCCAAGCTCTGGTGGAACATTGCCTACGAGATTGTTGTATGCCAAAGCTAAAGTTTTCAAGTTTTTGCACGCAGAAATGTTTGACGGTATAAACCCATTGAGAGAATTATTGTTTAAGTACAAAATCTGCAACTTATGCAAATTACCAATTTCAGGTGGAATTTTACCTGAGAAACTGTTGTTTTTGAGCTCTAGAACCCTGAGAAAGCTCAAGTTACCGATGTGTGAAGGCACTGATCCCCCCAACTTCAAAGACTTGAGCTTTATGGCTGTGACTCTATGGTGACGACGACCACATGAAACACCAGACCATTCACAGAAATGGATGGTTTCATTCCATGTGGTCAAGACACTAAAAGGATCTTCTTTTATCATTTTTTTGAATTCAAGAAGGGAAATTTTGTCTGTCTCGTTGCCTAATAACTTGGAGGTGCAAGAAACAAACACAAAACCAGGAATCAATAAGATAAGAAAACACAACAAAAAGAAAAACTTAGTGTAAATCAAATCAAGAGTTGGAAAAGTCATCATCAATGTGGTATGCCAAAGGGTAAGAGAATGATATATAGTAATTAAGTAGGAAGTGTGCTTTGTGTCTTTGTGTATGCATGCCATATTATTTATAGTGTTAACCATAAAGCTATTTATTAACAACATTTTAAAATTTTATAATTTTATGATTCTATAATGGTGTATGATATGGTAAACTAATTAACAACAATGGTGTGGCTAGTGTATGTTAGGTCGTAGGGAATTTTAATTCGAAATATATTTCCAAAATTTCAGCCATGGTACAATATAAAATTAATCTAAAGTTTGTGCTACACATGGTATTTTTAAAATCACTCTGTTTCTTTCTAAAAGTGTTAGGAGTGTATCAATTTCACATGATACAATGGATTATTGTAATTTTAAAAATTATTTTTATAATTTGAGGTTATGTGTTTGTGTAAATTATGAGTCACCTCCAAGGCATCAAATCGAACACAAAAGTAGATGCCATTCAAATGTGAAATGAATTATTTTAGGGTCATTTCACTATTGACAAATTGTGAAAATCATCTTTAGAATTTGCATAAAGAATACCTAAAGAAAGACTGAAAAGTACAATACTTATTTAACTTTACATAAAGATATATTTGTGAACAATTAAATGCAATTATTGTGCTGAGGGACAAGAGGGTCCAAAAATGAATAGATCCTTCTTGTGGATTTTATCTTGCCAGAGAAGAGATTGATTAAACTATTATTATGTGACAAGTTAATTATATTGTAGTAATAATTTGGTAAACTATTACTAATAATACCAGTGATGAACTATTACTATCAATTTAGTTAAAGATAAATTTAAAGGTAATAATGTAAAAATGTGGTTCTTCACGTTTCCACTAATGATGAATTCGATTTGCCCATCACAACAAGAAGTCGGTTTTTACATTGTACCCTTAAATTTAATGTTTACTAAATGTATATATATTTAACTGTATGACCAAATGTTTAATAAAATCAGTAGTTAAGAGACTATTTATGATCAAATTGAAAGTCGATGATGAAATTTGATAAATGTCAATAGTTAAAGATCTATTTATTAGGGTGGGCGTTTCAGTTTCATATTTTAACCCATGGCCTCCCATTTCGAAGAGTCACTTCATGCCACTAGACCACAAGGTCATTAATTATTTATTTATTTTCACTAATAATTTAAATTTTAAAATCTAAACAACAAGTACACAATACACATTTTAAATTCTTCAATCTAAAATAAAGTCCAAAATAAATCGACATCTTCACTTGCGTCTGATGTCCGACAACAATGTCACAAACTTGCAATTACAAATTCGAAACAAAGAACAATTGTAAAAAATTGGGTTAGGGATTGAGGTTTTAGTATATATATTTAGATAAATTTGTAAATATAAAAACATTTACGTAATATATATATATATATATATATATATATATATATATGATTTTCGATTCGATTTTTAACTGAATGGAACCGAAACCATTCAATTTATAAAATATAGAACTGATCAGTCTTTAATAATAAACTAAAATCTAAACCTTAATCCGAACCGAAATGCTCACCCCTATTATTGTTTATAGTCCAATTAAGAGTTGACGATGCGCAAAAACATATGCCCAATATTTATATTTAAAAAAAAATAACTAACAAATTTTTTTTTACTAATTAAAATATAAATGAACTAAAATTTATTTATTTATTTATTTTTGAAAACCAACTAAATTTATTTATTATATTATTCCAAAATATAATGTCTACAAATAAAGTCAAATATTATTATCAGAGTTAATTCCAGCAATGGTCCTTCGACTATTGTGATTTTCCAAAATTGGTTCTTGTTTTTTAATTTGGACGAAATAAACCCTTGACTATTAGATTTGTTCCACCATAGGTCCTTTCGTCAAAATAGTTTTAGACAACCGTTAAGTAAAGGGGTAAAAGTGTAATTTCCTTAGCTAGGTCTCTTCTTTGTCTTTCCTGGCTTCCTGTTAGATGGCTTCAATAATTTCCAGTGGGAGCAGGGGAGTGGGGTCCGTGCCCTCCCTAAATGCTAATTGGCGGGTGAGAATATTGTGATGGAACTTAATAGGAAAACCGTAAATTGGGGAAGAATTTAGAGTTAGAGGAGAAAGAGATAGAAGAAGAAGCTGAAAATCTCAATTCATATCATGAAGAAAACCCATCATCTACAGGCAAGCTAAATACAAGCTACTACTAACAGTTCCCCACTTTTCAGCATAACTAACTGCTAACAAAACAAGCTGTAAAGGAAAATAAAAGGGGGAGGCTAAACGACATCGTCAGATCAGCGCTCAACTGCCTCCCAACAGCCACTGCAACGGTGTCGTTTTGGGCCTTCATTTATTAACGAAATAACGGCTACTTCCTACGACACCGTTTTAGGATTGCTTCTTCCTTCCTTTTCTCAACCACTGATTTCCCTTTTTCCCTCAGCTCTTATAGTCGTTACACCACCCCCCTCATTCAACGATCCTTGTCCCCAAGGATCGAACAATGGAAATTGACTCTTGATGTGGTAAAAGTCTTCCCAGGTGGCCTCCTTCTCTGGAGGATTAGTCCAGTGGACCAAAAATCTGAGTGACAACCTTATTATCTCTTTTAACCAATCGTTTGGCCAGCACACTCAATGGTTCAGCGAGTACTTGCCCCTCCAGTCCCACAAGAGGGGGATTAATTACTACACGGCTACACCATCCCCCACCTTTTTCTTCAACTGCGACACATGAAAAACCAGATGTAGTAATGAACCTGGAGGGAGAGATAACATGTAAGCCACTGCTCCAATTCTAGCCAAAACCTTGTAAGGTCCATAGAACTTGGCCGAGAGTTTCAGATTACTTCTGATTGCAAGTGTGACTTGTCTATAGGGCTGGATCTTAAGGAAAACCCAATCACCTACTGCGAAAGACCTTTCAGACCTCCCCTTGTCAGCCTGCATTTTCATCCTGTTCTGGGCTTGGCTGAGGTTGTCCTTCAATGCTAACAAGACTGCTCCTCTGTCAGTTAACCAGTTCATATCCCTGTTGTCTGAGTGTAATTCACATGTCAGGAGGGGTGGGGAATAGCTATATAGGGCTTGAAATGGTGTGCATTTCAAAGCTGTGTGGTAATTAGTGTTGTACCACCACTCAGCCAAATGCAGCCACTTGCTCCAACTACCAGGCCTATGAAAGACCATACACCTCAAGTAACCTTCTACACATTTGTTGACCCTTTTAGTTTGTCCATCTGTTTGAGGATGGTAAGCAGTTGAGAGGTTCAAATCCACTTTTAAACTCTTGAACACAGACTGCCAAAATTTGCTAGTAAAAATCTTGTCTCTGTCAGATATGATAGCTTTAGGCAACCCATGGAGTTTGTAGACATTCTCCATGAATAGATTAGCCACAACTTCAACAGTGTAGGGGTGACTTAAGCCAATGAAGTGACTATACTTTGTTAGCATGTCCACAATCACCAGTATGACCTCCTTTTTGTTTGATTTAGGAAGTCCCTTAATAAAATCCATAGACACATTCTGCCAGGCCTCTTCTGGAAAAGGAAGGGGTTGCAATAGGCCTGGGGTTGCCACATTCTCATGCTTACATCTCTGGCACACATCACAGCTTTTTACTAATTCAATAATATCTTTCTTCATACCTTTCCAATAAAAGAGTAGCTTCATCCTGTGGTAAGTGCCAGCTTGGCCAGAATGGCCCCCAACAACACTTTCATGAAGCTTTAGTATAAACTCTTTTCTCAGTTCCCCAGCAGATCCAATGTAAAGCCTATTCTTGTATCTCATAAGGCCTCTAGAAATAGAAATGTTACTATCACTGGCATGACTTACCAATGTAGGTACCAGCCTCTCTTCAGCCCACACATCTCCTTAATAAGTTTTAGCTATTTCTTCCATCCACAGTGGTTGTATGGCAGAAATGGAATGGAAGGTAACTCCTCCTTCAAAATCCTTCCTAGAGAGGGCATCAGCAGCTCCATTCTCAATGCCTTTCTTGTATTGGATGGAATAGTCCAACCCTAGCAATTTAGAGAGCCCTTTTGTTGCAAAGCAGTAGTAATTTTTTGTTCCAATAGGAACTGTAAGCTGTGATGGTCTGTCTTTATTATGAAGTGTCTCCCCAGTAAGTATGGCCTCCACCTTTCAACTGCATTAATGATTGAGAGATACTCTTTCTCATATATTGACAGACCTAGGTGTTTTTCCCCAAAAGCCTTACTGAAAAAGGCAATTGGTCTTCCTTCCTGAGTTAACACTGCTCCCATGCCCTTATAGATAGCATCAGCTTCCACTGTAAACTCCTTCTGGAAGTTAGGCAATGCAAGGACAGGAGAGTGGCAAAGAGCATTCTTCAGTTGGTCAAATGCTTCCGCAGCTTCTTTAGTCCAGGTGGAGGTATCTTTTCTAAGCATGTCTGTTAAGGGTCTGGAGATTATGCCATAATCTTTGATAAACCTCCTATAATAGCCAGCCAACCCCAAGAATCCTCTCAATCCTTTCACAGCCACAGGTTTAGGCCAAGAGGAAACAGCCTCAAGCTTGGAAGGATCAGTCTGCAGCCCATTTCCAGAAATGATGTGGCCTAAGTACTCCACTTGTGATTGGGCAAAAAAACTATTTACTCATCTTAGTATACAACTGGTTCTATTCCATCACTCTTAGAACCTCTCTTAGATGCAGCCAATGTTCATCCCAGCTTGCACTATATACTAAAATGTCATCAAAAAACACCAAGACAGATTTTCTTAGTAATTGCTTAAACACTTGATTCGTAAGGGCTTGGAAGGTTGCAGGTGCATTGGTGAGCCCAAATGACATCACCTTGAACTCATAGAGGCCTTGATGAGTCCTAAAGGCTATTTTGAACTCATCCCCTTCCCTCATCCTGACCTGATGGTATCCTGATCTCAGGTCAAGTTTGGAAAAACACATAGCTCCTACCAGTTCTGAAAACAGGTCCTCTACCAAGGGTATGGGAAATTTGTTCTTGATTGTTATGGAGTTGAGGGCTCTGTAATCAATGCAA